TGTTCTTTTTAATCGACCCTGCTCAGAATGAAGACGAATGCTCGACACTTCTCTGTGCTGAAGGAAAGCAAGGGGATTCGGGGTTCTGACCATTATCCTGTCTCTTCTTTCGCCCCGAGAACCATCATGCTTCACGTTTGATTGTTTCTTTCATGCTGTTATTCAGCCCTGCTTGGAACCACTATCGGAGCAATGCTCCGCAACGCCCAGGGGTGTTTTCCCTATGGCCGAACGCTGATTGGACCTCGGTTCACCAGGATGTTATACTTCGTACTACAGAGCCGCCGCCAGTAGGCTACATATCATAGCACCCTATCGGCGCGCCACAGACGTCAGGCCTCCAGATCTTCGCTTCGCTCGCGCCGACATTCTTACCCTTCAATTATATTGCGCCCATCGTTGGAAGACCCCCACTCCAAGCATATAAACAGAAATAGTTCACCCAGATGATCTTGGAATTTCCTCAGTAACATGATTGTTGAGAGGATAGCGGTGATACGTTACCATCACCCCCGGATTCGTCTCGCAAGACGCCCAACCACCAGTCTTCATAGCAAAACTTTAATTCTATGTCGCATTTCTCGCTCATGCTGCTAAATCTGTGCGATCACGGCGCGTGGCTAGATCGGCTGACCCAGCTGACAGGTAGTTCTCACTCGTTACCAACCCCTACGCCCACACCCTTACACTATACCCTCGTTTCGTCGTATGCAGGGTGCTACCAACTTTTTATTCGCTCAGACCTCCTCTGAAAAGCTTAGTGGGCGAGCCAATGCGGCGAATCAAGGCTCTGAGCTACCGGTCACCGCACGTCTAGCACATCCCCATCTGTCACGACTGTCCATCGTGGAGGAAGGTCGCCCCCGGCTGAGCTCACGTCATACAAAGGGGCTCATATTAAGCCTGGCCCACAAGTGAATGCGACTGCGGCAGCGCTATAGGGCACACTTCGACAACTCAAGCACTCAAGCATGCCCACTTGCGTGTGGGACGCTGGTGTGAAGATTCCGTATCTTGCACGTCGTGTTCACCGGTGCGTCGTGTTGATTGCCTTCGTCCTACTGTGATTACTAATCTTCGATTCGTTCGACGACAGAAGCAGTAGCGACATGACGGATTCAAAGCCACCTGCCGAGCCCCGCCTCCCGCCAGAGATACTGGATCACATCGTCGATTACCTGCATGGCGATGCGGCGTCGCTGCTGAATTGCGGGTTGTGTTCCAGGAACTTGCTCAGAGTGAGCCGATATCATCTCTTTCACGACCTGGTAATGAAGCTCTCTGCCACCGATCTCTTCTCTTTGCTCGGCCTCTTAAGGTCTCCCGCAAACCGCATTGCTCCGTTTGTCCAAACAATCGACCTCTTCAACATCCCTGCGTTCCTCCGCACCCACGGCAGGTCAGACGTCGTCCGCGCCATCCGAATCATCCCCCACATCCTCGCCCTCCTCCCCCACGCATCCTCCCTCAAACTGTGGCACTCAGACCTCACACGCCTTCCGGAAGACCTCGCCCTCCAGCTCTTCCACCACTTCCGCAGCTTCTCGGGGACCTTGCACCTCGAAGCCGTGCACTTCCATCGCTTCGTGGACCTGGCGAATCTCGTGACGGGGTGCACGCTTCTGCGCCACGTGTCGGTGAACTGCGTCTTATGGGCACATCCCAGCCCGCCCACGGACAGGCTCCTCCTGAAGCAGTCGCTGCGAGCTGCGTCTGCGCGCTGGCACATCCATGACGCTGGGACCCGCTACCAAGATTTGTTTGAGTGGCTGAAATCCCAAGGCTCGCCCGCGCCCGTGGAGAGCATGTACTACCACGCAGAGACGCCCAATGCGAGATCCGATCTGAATGGATTCCTGTCCTGCTGCGCGCCGTCACTACGGCACCTGACGGTGTCTTTCCCCTTGTCTTTGAAGAAGAGCCGCTTCGCAGGTAGGGTCGTCTGTTTCTCTCGCTCAGTTCGAGGCCGTAACGATTGGTTCACAGAAATCATTGACGACTACGGTGATACGAGCGACTGTACCAACCTCCGATCCCTGCGCATGAAGGACGTGATGCTGGTCCCGGCCACAACGGCCTCGCGGCTTCTCCAGTCCCGAATATCGAGAATCATTGCGGACATCCCATCCCCTCACCTCTTAGAATCTATTACGTTGGAACTTCACGTCTCCACGACCGTCTCTGTTGAGAAAAGCCTGCAGGAGTTCGACTGGAATAGCCTCACTCGTTTCCGGAATCTTCGCAGGATAACGCTCGTCGTCGATCCTAGCCTCTCGGCAGAGTTCCAGGACGCGGTCGTTTCGATCTTTCGTGGCAAGCTACGTCCTCTGGCGGATGTGTTGACGATATCGCCCTTCAACAAGGTGGCAGAAGAATACGAGTAGGCCTTGATTTATATACTATTTATGGGTGCACGCGCCATGGAAAGCTATTGTTTAGTATACTTACGTTAATGGACACCTTTCTTTTTGCATCACAGAGCTCCCAGATCTACCACCATTATACGTCGTTGGCGTCGTCTGACTCAAGCGGTACTTGCGCTCGAAGATGGAGAAGCAGACGCGGTATAATTCACTCGTAGAAAAGGAGGGGGTATAGAGGTATCTGCGTATCTGGTTAGTCAGGTAAGCGGTTAAACTGGTGTCTCCTCACTCAAATGTCCTTCTCTTCAACCAGGATCTCGATTGCCTGCTGGTTTTGGCAATGTCTAATGAAGGTGGCGGCCGGTCGACTCGGTCCGCGGCCTTGGCAACACGCTCGCGATAATCGCGACATTGCACCAATAAGTCCCGCACGAGCAACGACGATGCATCTCTAGCGCTCTCGAACTCGTGTACCAGTGATGAATAATGCCTTGCTTTGTCTCTTGATGTGATGACATTTGAGACTCATACGAAGAGCGCCTCGTCGTTCGACCAAGCTCACTCGGTGGTCGGTGGTTGGGGAACCATGGGGAATTTGGAGATTGGGATACATTTAGCATGGCGCCGGGCTGACGATCTTGAAGGAATTTGTAGTCGTGCCTGCAGACGAGGGACCGAGAAGGCAACATGGGCCCGTGGGTAGATGGTGCTGATGCCCCACTCAGCTGGAAGAAGATCGGTCGCAAAGCCCTTGCCCATAGTCGAAGGGTTCCGATGATGGGTTTCATGTTACCTTCCTCAAATCATCGCATCTCTAGGTCTAGGAATTCAGCGGGCGGTCGATGAACTTCTCGGTTCTACCTCAGAGAAACGTGCAAGGCTGAGCCGGATGGAGGGGATATTATCTCCGCTCTTCATCACCTCGCACTTGTCAGGAACCAGACCAAACGCAGACCGCCGTTACTATTGCCAAGTTTGAAACTATTGCACCCTAAGGAGTGGCCAATCGGTCGGGCCAGACGGATGCAGAATAACCGCGTCACGGTCCTCCCAATTTACTTCGAAGAACCCAGTGGAATAGTGAGCTACATGTTCAAACTTTAGGAGCGTCGCTTATGTTCCCCTTTGCTTTAGCTGTGCCAAATCGGAAATGAGCTTTGCGTGGATAGACGCTGCTGAGTTTGATGATCATCCCTTTCGAGGGGATGGAATGTAGGGAGGTTATGTCTGAGTCCGCGGATGTGTAGGCGTGCGCGTGAGTCGTTGAGTCGACGCAATCATAAACTTAGGCTTAGGCGCCTGAATCCTGCTCAACTATCGAGTATTACCTGAAGGCATCATGCCTGTCCGGACAAAATCGCAGACGCCCCTTGGTCCGGACCATGCACCTTTGACAAAGCTTAGCGATATGCATGACAAGAAAGCTCCGAACGTCGGCCCGCCATGGCCCCTGACTAATCCCTACAATACCACGTGATCAATTTGGAGCCGTTCTCCTCCAGTTCTCCTCCTCGTCCTCTGTTCCTGTCCACGTTCATCGCAGTCGAGATGGTGAATATCTGGGGGTTTGAGCTCTCAGAAATGTCATTCAGTGCCTTCGGGTCGAAGAACATGTTCGACAAACGTTGGCCACTGCGCAAGGAGCGCGTTAGTGCGTACTGTGTCTCTCCCACATCTGACTTCTCCTAATCGCGTTGTCTCTATTATTAGTCCTGTACCAGCTGGCTATGTCCATATGCCTGGCTGCGGAATGCTCTGCGACTTACTCGCTTTCCAAGTACGAAGACTCGCAGACAAACATCGAACGTCTCTACGCTCGCGAACACCCAGATGCCCAGTTCGGGGACATCGCCGTACACAATAACCCCGTTATCGCGGCGGCTTGCGTTACAATTGTCTTCGCCGTGCTGGTCGCCACCCTCTTCGGCGCAGACTTCTTCTTCCTCCTCCAATTCCCGAGGAGAGTCTACCCCACCTGGTATAATGTTGCGAAGAAGTTTCTTTCGGTGTTCATCACGGCGGGTGTACTAGCTGGAGCGCTGTTCAGCACAGTGGTTGTGGCGACGCAGGAGCAGTACATCAACGGCACCGCCGTAACGGAGGCCGAGAGTCGACGGTATGAAGAGTTCTTCTACCGGCCGCCGTTTGTGTACAAGCGTTGGGCGGTTAACATCGCGTGGGTAGTCTTGATTTGGATTGGATGGGTAGCCACCGTTGGGAGGTTAGTCTATGCGTTAGTGTGAACAGTATTTTCATTGACGCGCCTTTTAGCACGATCATCATGTGGAAGGCGATAGAGCATGACAAGATTCACGGACCAGGCCCCAAGTCGGATGTCCCTCTTGAATCGACGGAGAGTCAACGTGCCCTTGGAGGAAGCGTCGTCGATGGCGAGAAGAAAACAAGCGCGTGACAGTGTACCTCCCTTCCCTCGATGAACTCAGTGATATTGTATAACATTGTGCACATCTACATCTACACCCACTGTATTTGTTACTATAAAGCATGGGCTTGACTTCACAATAAGTATACGTAATGTACCGTATTCATATAATTTACTATTTCACTACATGACGGAAGGGATCAGAACGATATGAGTGCGAAAGCCAGCAAAAAATTCGGTACGCTGAATCCAACTGCCTCGACCCCGGATCGAACGAGGGATCTTCGCATTACGAGTGCGACGCTTTACCACTGAGCCACCGAGGCGATGTTGGACCCGTCATGAATTGTCCGATTGAGTGCGCTTACGTCACATCTTCGATTACAACTCAAGTGAACGCCGAAAGACTAGCCACTACTAGCCATCGTTCCACCACACACTCGCGCGCGCGACACAAAGTTGAAGCACTGAAGTTGAGGTTGAGGTTGACTCTCGCTTTCACGTTGCAAATGATCGGTGCGTTCCAATATCATGCTATAACATTGGCTTTCTTTACATTCTTTCTTAACGTACTCAAGCTGTACCCGAAATCATATTTTCGTCAGACTTTCAGCCATCCCTATGGCAAAAGTCTGAAATCTGATTGCGAATGTGCCAATCGATGCGCCTACTCCCGCAGTCGCCTGGGGTCGATGGTCGACTTCGAATCACCAGATTGGTAGTGCAACGAGCTTGCCAGCGCTGCCAGGAATCACGCGCGCGAGTAAAGTGCTGGGTTGATATTCATTCAAAAGGAATCGACCGTATGTATTGCCAGTGCGCACCGAACACCCCCACTGTCGTCTTCGCTGCTAGACGTCGATATCTCGCAAGACTTCTCCAACTCAATATTGAGGATATTCAGCGTAGCATCTGAACATGGGATTCGGGAAACTTCGTTGGGCGGTCCTCCTTCTCCCCTACTTCCTCCCACTCGGGTATAGCTCGGCGAATGCGGTGGAGACGAGTACGTCGTCATGATTATGGGATTGACCGCCAGTGATGAACACTGTACTTTTAGGATCATGGGACGAATCATACGCGCTTGCTCATAAGGTTGTCTCCCAAATGACAGTCGATGAGAAGGTCGGGGTACTCACAGGTGTTACTTTTGCTAAGAGTGCGTTTATTTTATTCCTCTTCCTCCTAGTCCTTGTCTCCATTCCGTTCCTTTTCCCCCGTCGTCCTATGTTATCCGTCATCATCATCGCATGTTCAACGATCTTACGTACTGATTGATTCCGAATCAGGCAAATGTAACGGCGATACACATCCAGTCCCCCGCCTGGGCATTCCTGCCCTCTGCTTCAAAGACGGCCCCGCGGGCGTCCAACCCTCCAAAAACGTGACAGGGTTCCCCGCAGGCATCAACGCTGCTTCAACGTTCAGTAGGACGTTAATGAGGAAAAGGGGGGAGGCTATTGGCAGGGAGTTGAAGGGTAAAGGCGTCAAGTAGGTTTAATCTTCCGACATGATAAAGTAGGAATACTAAACGTATATTCACAGCACATGGTACGGACCCTCCATCGACATCGTGAGTTCCCTATTTCTTCTGCCCATCTATCATTTAATACTGTTACGTGTCGCTTACAATGTCCTCTCCTCTTCCCCTCCATTTGATTTGCGAACTGTAGATGCGCAACCCCAAAGGTGGACGTGGTTGGGAAGCCTTCGGTCCAGACCCCTACCTCAACAGCGAAGGGGGCTACGAAACCATCATGGGCGTACAAGGCGTAGGCGTCCAAGCCTGCGCAAAACACCTTGCTGCGAATAACCAGGAACATAACCGATATAACCTTAGTGTAACGTTGGATGATCGGGCGATGTGGGAGGTTTACGGCTATCCGTATATTCGAAGTATCAAGGAGGTGAGCGAAGCCACTGGATGCAATTGATCGGCGTCGTTAATGGGCCCCTTTTGGCGGTGTAGGCCGACTTATCGTCCGTGATGTGTTCCTTCAACCGCATCAATGGAACCTTCACTTGCTCGCACCCAAAGCTCTTGGCCGACGATGGTTTCTTGCGGTCAAACGGTTTCAAAGGTTTCGTCGTGAGCGATTATGGCGCCACGCATGGTACTGCCGCTGAAATTGCCAACGCCGGGATGGAAATGGAGCAACCTGGAGAATTTGACCCACTCGGTGAGTTTAACAATTTGGAATATCTGACTCGGCGTTTGACTGTGTTTTGTAGTAAATGGTGGAGGCGTGTTCACGGAAGGTGGTCTTAAGAACTCGGTCCTCAACGGCACTGTGTCTAATGAAGTACGTCACGCGTCCCACTTAGGTATGCTCCAATATGCTGACGGAAATCCTCCGTTCGCTGTGGATTTAGCGGCTTGATGAGATGGCCGTCCGTGTCCTGGCTCCGTGGTATCGTCTACGACAAGACGTGGTACGCAAAATGCAATACTCCATATTGGATTTAGAAGGCCCTAATGTCCAATATGTTCTCGCGTAGGATTACCCTCCAATCAACCACGCCGCAGACGTGCGTTCAGAGGAACATACGGCCCTCGCCAAGGAAATCGCCTCTGCCTCTGCCGTACTCCTAAAAAACGCTCCCCGTGCTTCCAACTCATCTTCTTTCCGAACTCTGGGGCGTCACCTGGGTCTCCCTATTCTCAAGTCCGAAATCAAGGAAATGGCCATCATAGGCGAAGACGCCAAACAACCAGATCTCAGCCTTTGCAACGAGCTTGTTGAGTGCACGAACGGGACTTTGGCTGTTGGGTACGTTTCCTTATGTTCTGAGGCTCCTTTCAACGTGCTAAATTTGGGGGCTGTTAGATGGGGATCGGGTGGCAACTCACTGGAATTCTTGATCGCGCCGGCTGACGCCATAACATCATACGTCGGCGATTCTGCTACTATCGCTACTTCACTGTCGAACGATGCTACTGCAGGCGCCGCGGCCGCGGCCAATAAGGATGTAGCATTCGTCTTTGTTAATGCGTAAGTGTTACCGGGGTGCTCACGCGAACTCTGAGTCGACACTAATTATTATCGACTTGACTACCACAGGCGGAGTGGCGAATGGATTCAGAATATTGTCCATGATCAAGGCGGTGACAGGAATGATTTGGAACTATTCTACGAGGGCAGACAATTGGTCAGTTATCCTATGCTCCACGTTTGAATTTCATTAGAAGTCTTACAACTAACATGTCCATTGATTTAGATCGAACGCGTTGCCGCCGTATGTAACAACACTGTTGTAGTTGTACATTCCGTGGGCCCCGTGTTCATGCCTTGGAGCACACATCCGAATATTTCCGCTATCGTCTATGCTGGGGTACCTGGCGAGCAATCTGGGCCGTCGATTGTAGACGTCTTGTATGGCAACTACAACCCCAGTGGGCGATTACCCTTTAGCATCGCAGACGTAAGTTATCAACTACCATCGATTTTCAGCCCCATTAATGCTGATGTCTTTTAGACCGAAGAAGCGTACGGCACGCAAATCGTGTACGATCGTACGATCGGCCCATTAACTGTAGGCATTTACTTCACCTTCGAAATGTTATTCACTCACCAACCTCACATTAGCTCAACTACACCGAAGGCTTATTCCTGGACTATCGGTACATGGAAGAACACGACATCTCCCCCCGTTTCGAGTACGGCTTTGGCCTTTCATACACCACCTTCACCTACGACAACCTCGACATCCGCTCTAACGGTTCCTCAAAGAGCGCCACCTTCAGTATTCGCAATACAGGTGGCGTGGACGGCACGGAGATTCCTCAGTTATACGTGGGATTCCCCGAAGGCTCAGGAGAGCCGAAGAAGGTGTTGAGAGGCTTCAGTGATGTGGCTGTCAAAGTCGACGAGAGCAAGAACGTCACCATGACGCTGACTGAGCTAGATATGAGGTATGTAATGCCATCCTATCCTTCGGGCTTCGGCTTATAAACTTTTGTGTCTAGCATTTGGGATGTTACGACCCAGCAATGGACAGTCCCTTCAGGCGAATTCAAAGTGTATATCGGAGCCTCGATCAAGGACATACGATTGACGGGGTCGTTCTAGTGGACGGATTCATAAGATCTTGTACATGCCGACAGTTGTTTTACCGTCCAGTATTTATACCTCCAATATACCCGTAGACTATCATTCTACATCTTGCCCCTCGTCTTGATATGGTGGCGCATTTTCTACTAATAGCGCGCCTTTATCAGCGGTAGGCGCATTCAAGTGCTTATATTCATCAGCGTATCATTTTAGCACTCTATAATACAACAAGAGGTGGTATCTGTATGACCGTACGAATCATTACTACGAGAAGAACGTAAATTGAGGAACGGAACGGGGAATCATGTCGCCAGTCGTAAAGAAAAGAATCCACTATACTATTCATCCACTTAGCGTACTATAGTTATCTGCGCCTAATCGTCGCTGTTGCCGAGTTCCTGTATTCCCTCGCAACAGAGACCGCAGCCAATACACTCAAGGCAGGCTTGATTTAGTTGGTTCAGCATATGAATGAGGGGCATTAAACGAGACCATACCGAGACCACCGCAACACGCGCAGAAGTAGCAGGGGCAACAACACGGGTTCTCGAAGGCACCTATAGGAGAGAACATGCTCTTGTCAAGAAGGAAACTGACGAGAGATATTTTATAACAACACTACGCACTTTCGCAACACCAAACTGAGAGGAGGATCCCAAGGATGAGCACGACGAATAGGCCGACGAAGACGACGATGAGGTATAGTTTGTGTTTCGTGAATGCGCTTTCCTCCCGTTTGGCGTGGAGAGGGTGGGCAGCTGATTCTGCGTGCGACACTATGGGGTGCGCGGTGGGGGGTAGCGCATGGGTAACCGCCGTACCCAGCCCAGCCAAGGCTGCTCCCGCAGGAACGGCGACGGGGGAGGTCCCGGCTGCCTGAGGAATGGCTGTGGCTGTAGCTGGAGCGGTGGCGCTATGGGTAATGCCAGAGTGGGTGGATGATGCGCCCGGAGGGTGCTCGCCGACAATGCCCTTCCATTCCCCAACCCCCTTCCAATCGGGATCCCAGTTTCTCCATGAAGCGATAACGCCAGAAGCAACTAGGCAGGCGTTCAGAATGAATATACCGGCGACGATGATCAGTATGACGAGAATCGGGAGAAGGTATTTTCGGAGTCTTGAGTTGTGGCATCGTTTGTGGGCGTGATTGTCTTCGGAGTCGGGGCCTTCACCTCCGGGTTGGGGACGAAGATGCATACCGTTCGAGGGGTAAGCGTAAGGGCAAGGGCCATGATGCTGACCCTGTTGGCATTCGTAGTCGTTATGCCTGTAGT